TTCGGGGATTACAAGGGGGTTATAACCCGTTGTACCTCCCGTGTAACTCCCATGTAACCTCTCGTGTAACCCCGCTGTAATCTTATAATCTCAATGGATAAAATAAAAGTGCGGGTTACTGCTGAGTTATACGAAAGTTACAAGGAAGTTATAACACGTTTGTAACCCCCATATAACGTCTGTGTACTCTATTATGTACGCATCTCTGCGTACCCCTTGACGTACACAACTTTTTTCTATGGACATCATTGTGTTAAAGTATTTATTTCTAGCATAATTCACTGAAGAGCATTTGCTCGATTTTGATGGATTGGTATTCAAATTGGTCAAACTGATTACAATCTCTAGATCCGACCAGACCAAATTTTAATTTAGTTTAATTTGTTTGTAATGAAAGAGAGAAATTTAATTGTTGGTTGGAGTTTGGTTTCAAACGAACATCACGAAGTACATGTATTGTATGTATAATATTGATTTGATTTCATGACTCTACTTATTTCAATTAAATTTTGCATATTATGTAAGCTTTGTTTTTTTTTTTTTTTTATTTGTTCGAGATGAATTTAAAATATAATAAGAAATTTTAATTAAATTTGGCTTTTAAGTTTATTTGGTTATTTGAAAATTAAAACCAAACCAATAACCAAAAACTAAAGTTTTCAAAATCAAAAACTAAAAAGCACTTTTGAGACCAAAATATGTTTTGTTGGATTTGATTTTTTTGGCTTTGAACAAATTATTCACACCCCTTGAATCACTGCATTCATATACATCTACATATCACATATATAAAATAAATTATTTTTTCATTATAAAAATTAATTTTAATATAATTAGAAACTTATTGTGCTTTTCAATATAGCTTGTCATGTTGGATTCTTTAATAAGAGGAATACATTTCTCTTTATAAATTTTACTCTCGAGAATATCATTATACAATTATAGAGCATATTCTTCATCAACTATTCATCTCAACGAGTGAAATAAACATGAGTTTTTGGGTCTTCAACTTTTCATTAAAGTTAGAAATGAGAACTCATAAATAAATTAAAATATCTATAAAAAAATGCTTATTCCTTAAATTATGATTTTTTTTTCCAAAATGTACAGTTGATTGTTTAGCCCTCGATGATGCAAACAATTTCTTCTCTTTTTATGAGTTCATTCTTTTGAAAGAATGAGGCCAATCGGCTTTTCAAAACTTTCTAAATTATACAGATAAACTCTAAGATCACTCATTAAAAATTTAGATTTGTTACATATAGTATTGTTACTAATAAGTTCAATTAATCATTACATTACTTTAAGCTTAAGATAGTATTTCTATTGATCATATTGAACTATGGATTCAAAAAGTATATAGGAAAGTGGGTTCTTTAACTTCTCATCTTTTATTAATGATGTTAGTGTTTAGCATTCACAACCTCTTTGTACACTTGAATCTATTTTTGATTGCTTTGTATGTTCTATTCATTCCTACATAAATATAGCTAAAGAGATGACATCTCATCTAAATTAACTATTTATAATAATTTTATAGGTGGTTTTGATGATTTTTTAGTATTAAACAATCCTTTTTAAAATTTATCACCTAAAATGATAGATGTTGCATCATATTTTAGTGTTTTTAACTAAGTTTGAATCATTATAGCATTTACTAGTCACACATGCTTTATGATAATATTTATATACACTTTTCAAATTAACAAAAGTTGCTGCCAAAAGAGTTACTTTAAGACTTTTTTTTCTTTGTCCAGCACAACATTTTCCTTAATGAACATAATAAGACATTATGATAAACAATTCTAATCACTTTTGAAGCATTTTTGCAAGATCTATCATACGAGGCATGCTATCAATATCTTTCAAAAAAAAAAAACTTCAAGCAATATGCAACAAATGGTGCGACCCATAAATTTTATCATATTTTTTTATTTAATGACTCTTCTATCTTTTTATAAACTACGGCAATTTTTATTACAGAGTATACTAAATTTTTGTATTGACCTACGAAGCATCAATAAATTTTAAAGAAGATAAACTGCATGGACAGTTAATCAAAAGGTTAATCAATCATATATTGTTATTATAGGTTTGACCATCAACCGTCAAATATATCGTATTTTTTCAAACATTTGCAAAACTCAACAAAAACAAAAATTTACTTTTTTTATATATAATCTCCTAATAAATTGGCTCAAAATCCATGATAGTAAGTAAAGAATGAATTATGTGGAAAGGATGAATTCATGATATTGAAAGGAATATAGCTATTTAAAAGTCATCTTGTAAGTATCATATCCACCCTTAATACAATATTTTTAGATGCTAAAGCTTTTTTT